GGGGGGCCACGCCAGACCGTCAGATTTTTTTAAGGGGGCCTCGGTGTTTACTGTTGTTTGGGAATGGTAGCTCTAGACAATCACTTTAAAGAACAAATTTACAATATTGCACAACACTGGATTCGAAGTAAAGCATTTGTGGCTTCTCCGCATGTTTCAACAGTTACACACGTGAGCGTGGTTCCCTGCTTCAGCACTGGTAGCATTGATTCCCATCCTGACAATAGTTCGGATGCAACTGAAAGCAGACCATAAAACCTCCAATTTGTGCACACTCTGAAACCAAAATATCGCAGTCAGACGAGAAGGGTTCTGTCTGCGGCATGCAGTACGGAGGCGGTGCTCGTGTCGGAGTAGTGGGCGTGTCGGGTAAGGTGACGTCACTACCCGGACACGCCCTAATACATTGGAATTTGAATCACTTGAACTCTCTGCAGTTATCCGTTGAAGAGAAGACATGGCAGGACCGTACGCAAAACAGTGTCAACAACCAACGTGTTTTATTTATTTTTTAGGCCGTCCCTCCAGTTACAGTGTATAATGAATAAATGCACATCACCATGACTAGAAACTGTTTCTTTTTAAGAGTGAACTGACATACATTGCGAGAAAGCCACATTCGTATGGGTTTCTTCTAAGAGTCCATTGTGCCATCGACATGTCAGGTAATAGTATAATAGGTATAGTATTAATTTTTAACATTATAATATTGCCAAGTCATTTTGCATCGTTAAAATGGTAATTAAGGAGGAAAAACATAACTCTTTACTTGTTTTCCAAGATACAGTGGAGAATTTAGTTAGGCTATTATGTGATGTAGTCCACGATGTTTCCTATCACAGTTACAGAAAGTCACTGACCATCGTTATTTGGGATGATGTTCCAAGATATTTGTGTTTCTAGTGTGCACAAATGATGTTTATGTCTGCTTTTCAGTTGCATCCGACTATTGTCATGATGGGAATCATGCTCCAGTGCTGAAGCAGGGGGAACACGCCCACGTGTGTAACTGTTTTAAACATGGCGGAGAAGCACAAATGCTCACACACGTGCAAACCCTGAAAGGGCATCTGTTTGTCATGGATGGTATGGTTTTAACTTCGAACCCAGGTGTTGTGCAATATTGTACATTTGTTCTTTAAAGTGATTGTATAGGAGTTTGTAAGAAAGAGAGTCAGAGAGGTATTGATTTTGAAAAAAAAAAAACAACAAGCTCCCTCCCCCTTCCTTCTGATGGGTTCTACACGCTCTACCGGAAGTATAGCATGATTTATATAATGTTTGATTACATTAGTTAGGCCGTCCGACCGAGCGCCACCAGACAATAAAATTCATTATTGCGCTATAAAATTCATTGGGCATATGATAGTACTCACTACTTCAACGTCATGGTGCTACGTCCCTTAGAGACTTCGCTAGTGGGATATCACTCGTGACCCCCAGGTCACATCGCCAGAGAGATCAAAATATATTTGCTCCATCACTCAGCACCTTTCCTCTATAATTGCCCAACTGCACAAGGCCGCACCCCCTCTTTCACTCTGGGCGCCTGATGAGATTACCGTTCAATTTTACCAGAGAAAAGATGTCTTATGATGCTCGTCCGAGTTCCCTTCGCCATTCCGGCGCTCGGACGTCGTCGTTGCTCGATCGTTGTGCTCGAGTCAAGCTCCAGCGACCACGGACCAGCACTCAGCTCCTTCATGGTGCCTGAGGCCCGGGGCCATGCGTTGGCGTTGAGCGCCACCTGCGTCGTGTCTCGCTCTCCCCTGGGAGGAGAGCGAAGCAGGCGCTGCGTACTACGCCGCTACGCGCCCCGTGTCCGGAATCCTCTCAGGGACGAGGAGTCGGTGTATTGATTGGGCCCACACTCGACCTTCCACCGTGTATAAGACTACATGTTTTGCCTAATTTCAGCATTTTCTAGACTATTGTCTCATCACTTTTCACCTATGTTCTGCCTGGCCCTCACAGAACGCTCCGTGGGTCGAATCTCTCCGATCTGTGACATCATAGCTAGACCCCGCCCCCTTGTCAATCAGCACAAACACAAAAACAACCAATATATTTAAAAAAATGACTTTTTAAGCCAAGTGAGAATACGGACTTTGTGGACAATTCGTAACAGCGCAGCCGTACAGAGAACCGTCAATAATGATCCTTTAGAAAGAAACACAATCCTAGAAGGAAGAACACAACCCTAAGGATCCTGTCGCACAAACCCAACATGAGAACAAGGCTTTCGGGTTTCAGCCAGAAAATGGAGTAAAAATATATATCAAAAACTCCCCAGACATTTCCCTTTAACTCTGCATCGTAGAGGGGGTAGGAGACTTTGTTTTAAAAAGAGCGTAATTCAAGTGGTTAACCATGGGGAAACGTGTGATCTTCCATTCAGTCGTCAACAAAACTGCATTTAAAAAATATACAGTAATGCAGAGGTTTGAACCGGGCAGCGGGAAAAGGTGAGATTATGAGCCTTGAAAGTGAAAGTAAAAGTATAACACGGCTCAGTGTTTTGTACCTGTGATAAACGTTTATTTATACATTTTATACAAATAAAAAACAGCAAATATTAACCTGATGATTGCGAACTGAACTCATTTGAAACTAAATCTGATATTTGATGTTTTTGATTTTAAGCTGTTGTTTAGGTGAGAATTACTTTTTCATGTTTTGACCGAGAGAGCCTGAGAGAGACCAGAGAGAGGACCAGAGAGAGACCAGAGAGAGTCCAGAGCGACCAGAGAAGAGACCAGCGAGACCAGAGAGAGAGACCAGAGAGAGAGACCAGAGATGAGAAGAGAGAGAGACCAGAAGAAGAGGACAGAGAGACACCATGAGAGAGACCAGGAGACAAGGCCTGAGAGAGAGACCAGGAGAGAGTCCAGAGAGAGACCAGAGAGAGACCAGAGGAGAGACCGAGATGAACCAAAGTGAGACAGAGGAGACCAGAGAGAGACCAGAGAGACCAATGGTGTTGTTTTTTCTGATCCGTGTCGACAGAAACTGGTAAAGTCTTTGACGAGTGCTAAAAAACATAGAAAGAATGTGATGAAAAAACAGTTAAACATTATTTATTAGAAACTTAAGAACCTAAAGTTTTGTTTCGAGACTGATATGTTGTTTGTCGCGATAGAAAAAGTGTGAGAAATGTGTTTATTGTGGATAAAATCCGGACGTCATCTCCCCAGGTCATTGTGCTGACGTGATCCAACAGTCCCTGTGAGTCACTATTTGACCCTTTGGGCTCAGACAGAAATAAGAATTAGATTTTTACATGAGCTTTGAAAATAGAGACCACAGCTTTAAGTCTCGCACCAAATGTTTGTGCTATAAGAAAACCCCAGTGGAACTCTGGGGAATGGCCTCCTGCTGTGACTTGAGAGCACAGGGACTGGATCGGCTGGGACTCTGGAGGAGACAGGGGACTGGGCTCCTGCTGGACTCTCGAGGAGACAGGGATGGCCTCCAGGCTGGGACTGGAGGAGCACAGGGACTGGCCTCCTGGCTGGGACTCTGAGGAGCACAGGGACTGGCCTCTGCTGTGACTCTGAGGAGCACTGGGACTGGCCTCTGCTGGGACTCTGAGGGAGCCACAGGGACTGGCCTCCTGCTGGGACTCTGAGGAGCTGGGACTGGCCTCCTGTACAGGACTCTGAGGAGCACAGGGACTGGGCCTCCTGCTGGGACTCGAGGAGCACAGGGACTGGTCTCCTGCTGGTCCCAGGTCGTGACTAAACATGTGGAGGCTAGTGTTTCAGGATTTATGCAGCTCTAAAAACAGTCTTCCTAGAAAACGTTGAGACGGGCAATATTCAATCCAGGTTAAAAACCGATTTAATTCCTGACTTTCTGATTTTAGCCTTGTCTTGTGAGTTGTGCCGTGTGTGGACTGTGCTTATACCCAATAACCTTGGCCTAATGCATAAGGGTTATGAAACATTTGACATCAGTGACTTTTCCCGCGTGGCCTCGCCCCCACCAGCTATCTTTGTGTTACAATTGTGAGAAAACTTCTGAAACCATCAAACGCAGAATAAAAATAACATATGTACATGTAGATACGGATACAGGTGTAAAAAATAAAAGAACTACAGAATACATACAGTAGTGAACAGAACCATATGAACAGAACCATGAACAGGAGAACCATGAACCAGAACATGAAACAGAACCATGAACCACGCTCAGAGCAGAGGAAGTCATTCGTGTCGCGTCTTAAACAACAAAGTTCACATTTGGTCCCAAAGAGTTCCCAATCCACGATGGACGGCGTGCTCCTGGTTGTCTGGCCGTGACTGCCTTCCTCTGATTGGCGCCGGTCCGTCCTGAGAAAAATGTTACTTGTAGAAGAAGGAAAGCAGTTTGTTGCAGGGGACGTGAATGTCTTCTGGGCACAAGACGCCATTTTGTGTCCACGGAAATCACAGTTGCATCTTTTTGTTTTCCCCCGTTTGGATTGAATGGTATAGACAGGTGAGAGACAGGGTGGAGAGCCAGGGGAGATGACAAGTGGAGAGACCAGGGAGAGACCAGTTGATGAGACCAGGAGAGACCTGGGGAGAAGAAGACCAGGGGAGAGACCAGTGGAGAGACAGGGGATAGAGACCAGGTGGAGAGACCAGGTGAGCAGAGACCAGGACCAGTGGAGCTCGGACAAGGTTTAGAGACCAAGGAACCCAGGGGGGGGGGGGGGGGGGGGGGGGCCGGGGGGGGGGGGGGGGGGGGGGGGGGGGGGGACCAGGGTAGGGACCAGGGTAACCCGAGGATCAGGGGAGAGACCAGGGGTGGACCCCAGGGCTAGGCCATAAGGGAGCAAGGCACCAGGGGAGGCAGGGCCTAGGGGACGACAGGGGGGGGGGTGTGGGGGGGAAAAAACCAGGGGAGACAGGCCCAGGGCAGCGGTTGAGAAGCTAGTAGCAGATTTGTGTTTCTAATCTGGTGAAAGTGTAAAAACAGCCGGACAATAGTTGTGTCCCTAGGGTGCTTGTGTCCGGATGCGCGGGATGGGGTCCTTAGGGTGCCTGTGGGAGCGCGGTGGTGAGGTCCTTGGGTGCTGAGTTGAGGGTGGGGCGGCGGTCCCTAGGGCGCGCGGTGGGGTGATTGCGTTCAGGTCTTACATGAGGGCCCTCCAGGTGGGCCATCTCCTCGTCCGCTCGTCGGGTTCTCCCCCCCCGTAGCTATGCGGGAAGAAGGGAGAGGCACTGGGTAGGGGGGCTATACTGCGCGAGGCGGGGAGGGACGTCAGGGAGGCGGAGGACCTGCAGGAGTGGCCAGGGGGGATAGGGGGGGGATTGAGAGTGGTGAGGGGGGGAGAGCAAGTCCCCAGGTCAGTCAGGTTTAGGGAGGGCAGGGGGTGCTGTTTCCAGGCCTGGCTCTGCTGATCAATCAATCAATCAATCAAAGTTTATTTGTATAGCACTTTACAACAACACCAGGAGGACCAAAGTGCTTCACAGAGAGATCATCTGAGAATGGACAATGTCAGGGATTTACATGTTTTTCATCCAACTATGGCCAAATCCAACTTCCTTTTTCTTGAATACAATGTTGACTCTGACATGAATATAACCAGTCCTATCCAGTTGTTCCATGCAGTTGTTGATATTTAGTGAGTGAGTGAGTGTATGACATGTTATAGAAGTAAAACCATAAAAAGCATAAACCATTTAAAAAAACGTGTCACGCATATGTTGTGTATAACTGAACACTTAAGGCAACAGTTGGGACAACACGGGCTTGAACTTAAAGGACAACTCACCCTCAAATCCACTTTTTTTTGCTGATAAACGGTATAAATGAGTGTCCAATAGTGTTGTCTACATATCCTGGTCATAATCTTGTCACTTTGGTGCAAATCAGTTGAAAGTTAGACTTTCTGCCTAAAACCGTCTGTGAGGCGCCATCTGCTGGCGACCTGTTTTACTACATTTGAATTTTGAATCTGGCGCCAACATTGGCGCGGCAGCAAGACCTGACGTCTGCAAGTTGGACCTGACGTCAGCAGCCCCCCGCCCAGAGCAATGTAAACGGCCCAGTCTCGTTCACGCCCCCTTTAGTCCTCCAGGCTACGCCCATTTAGAGGAAGATTTGAACAGGAAATGTGAGTAACGTAAGCTCCGAGGAGCGGGGGTGAGAACCACTTTAATCAAATTTGCTTGAATGCACCTTTGATTTTAGTTGTTGTGATTCAGTTAAATGTGTTAGTGCTGGGTGAATTGAACTCAAGTAAAATGTGTGTATGTCTTTAGGGAACGATCCTTGTAAGCTACAGTACGACCTCCACCTCAGCTACTAACTCATGTAGACAAACTTTACCTCCACCAAGAGACATGTCACGTTTGAAGTTCTGAATCTGCAGAATGCACTGATGTATCACACACACCTCACATCTGTGACTGATGCCTGTGATAAGTCGGCTGTGGACTCATGTTAGCATCATCGTGTTAGCATCATCGTGTTAGCATCATCGTGTTAGCATCATCGTGTTAGCATCATTGTGTTAGCATCATAACAATCATAAACAAAAGTTCACCAAACCAACATTGAGGAAACTTCAGCATCAACAAATACAAATCAATAATATTATGTTTGTTTTACAGTATGTAAATTGGCTTTTAAGTGTTTGGCATTATTCAATATCTTTGGGAACGATGGGATGGAATATTCTCCAATACATCAGTAATAGGCAGATTAGACTTTCAAAAGATCCTATTTCAAATCCAAAATCTTTCGTTTTCTGCAAGAAGTGGTACGTTCGTTGATTAAAAAAAATTAAAAAATCTATATCTGTATCTTATTGTTATTTCAAATTTAAATATCAAAAGGTAATTCTAATTTACAAAACATCATCAGCATGATTTATCAACAAGTATTTTACCGTGTAGCCAAATCTCTCGCAATAAATAGTTTTCCTCAGGGTGTCTGCTCTGTGCTGTGTTTGTGTCAGTCCTCAGCCCGGTGCAAAAACCTGTGTTTCCAGCTGCAGGAAAAGCAGGTGTGCTTTGGCCTTTAGCCTCAAGACACACACTCCTGTCTTTACTTCACTCTCCTCTGATCTAAGCATTTTACATTTTGATTTAAATCGAAGTGATCCATCGAAAGAAAAAAAACTTTAGCAGCAACTTTTGTGAGGAACATTGTGTCACATCAACATATAGTTATTTCAAAAACACGTAAAAATAATGGCACCAGAACAATGGATGGAAGTAAAAACATATTTAGTCCCATCCCTTTTCTACACCACTTCTTTTCAAGCGTGTTCCACTTTCTTTAGCCTTAAATAAATAAGGACAAAAACGTAAAAAAAAACTAAAATGTTGTGTTTTTTGACAGAGTTTATACCTGTCACATCTCATGAAAGCTGTTTTTGTAATATTTATTATTTATTTTATTTTTTTCAGTTAATTTTATCCATCCATTATCGCCATCTTTTAATTCCACAGCTGTATCTGCTTTAACGTAACCGTAAAGAAGGTATTGTAAACGTAGGTTGTAAGTGTTGTAAACATAAACATATATTGTAAATTAAAAAACTATTGTAAACATAAAACTTACATTTACGCTTCTTATTTTTCATGTTTCGCTTCATAAGTTACGTTTAAGATTCACAAGTTATGTTTACAACTCACAAGCTACGTTTACGGGTCAAAAGTTACGGTTACGATCATAGACTGTAAATATTAACGGATGTAGTCGCGTCTATCTCCGCCGTTCTAACTAATGGGCCACAACTTCCGCGGTCTATGGGAAGTTTCAAAATGGCCGCGGGGGCTGGAAAATGTGAAAAAAAACCATCTGCGCATGCGTCAGGCGGCACGAGCTCCTTTCATACGAGTGCCTTCAAAAATTCACAGCAACTAAACTTGACTGGTCCAAAAAAATTCACTCCCCTCAGCATTGACACACATGTGGAACAGAGCTTTGGACCAAGAACCAACTTTTGGAAAGATGTTTTTGAGAGGTAAGAAGATACTATATGTTAGCATTGGCTAATTCTTTTTCTGGGTCCACCCCCATCAGGGCACGTCATTTTGGCCACTTTTGAGCCAGGACCCGCCCCCACTGGTTACAATACATTTTTCACCTGACCCTATTTATTGACAGAGAAAATGCAAACAGACATAGTGACATAACAAATCCTGTAGCTCAGAGTTTAACAGCGAATACTAATTTACAGCTGGGCTTTTCTACACTAACGTTTAAAACTACACAACACGAGTCAATACAGTTTCTCTCTTTCATTTCAACAGTCACAAACTCACTCATGCACTCACAAACCTTATTTACAAATGGCTCATCACACCAGGTCACACGTAGAGAACAGTGACAGCGTTGATCTGACCACGTCTCCTTTAAAAAAAGCAAAAAAGGGCGAATTAAAGCATCTATCAACCCAGTGGTTTCAGACGTGGGATTTGTTGAGTAAATATTCATATCTGGAATGTGTTTCCAAAGACGAGCGAGTCAATTAGACACATTTATCTCCAGCAGGATCATGCATCTCCCACTCTCTGCACATTTGCCTTGTGCGCCGTGCTGTAAGTTACTCTAATTAGTGATGAAGACACCTCAGCAGCAGCATTAACCTATTATCACACACACTTTGCTGCAGAATAATTGCCGGTGTCTATGGCAACTGTGTGTCTTGTGCTCTCTCAGGTGTGTGTGTGTGGAGCACAGCTTGCGGTGGACAGAATGAAATGAACACAGAGGAGGAAAAAAAAAAAGTCTGAGATCAACGCCCCTCCTACTGCAGTCCTCCCGTCGTGGTTGCGTTTCGTGAGTTAGAGCTGCCTTCTGCTGGCCGGGGGGAGAGCAGGTCTGTTCGGAGTCAATCAGTGTCTGGCGTTATTATAGTGTGTGACAACAAAGCGGATCTAAAGATGTAGTAGTTGCATTCGTCTCAAAGTTGGGGTCGGGTGTATCACAGCAGGAGGTCATTTCAAAGAGATTAAGAGGAAGAGATCCTTTAGCGGGGGAAATTTCAGTGTTGCATCAGCAGTTACAGACCAGTAGGAATGAGGATCATAAGATAATTCTACACTCAATCAAATCAAAACAAAACTTACCCCGAAAATATACTTTTTAAAAACCAAAAAACTGTTTAGGAGTCCAAGGCAAAGTTTTCTGGGGACATAATGAATTAATCTTGAATCTTAATCTTAATTCTTGAAATGAATTCTTCTCTCTAGCACAAAAAAATTATTTAAAATTGGCATTACTCCCAACACAAACACAATCTCCTTAACGCTTCTGTCTGTTTTGAAAGTTGGTACATCCATGAAGTCATCGACAGTAATAGAGATGTTTTCTGCAATTTAAATAAAACATATTTTATATAAATAAGTTGAATAATATACATATTTCTTTATTGAAAAATCTGGACTCACCTGAGGAAATGGGTGGACTCGGTTGTGCTCCTGCTCAGGTTGGAACTTAAAGTCCGCAGCCACACTGGCCCTTTCTGGAACAAGTTTGACACCAATGGATTAGATTATTCCATCTTAAGATATATATTGCGAATTTCTCCATTGTGATATCAAAAAAGTTTATTTCGTTGATTCTTATATCAAAAAAGGACATTTTGAACGGCTGTAGTCAAGTAAAGACACCTATGACCCTGTGATTGATTAGTCTACTTCAAAGCTCTCAAAACTATAATATGTAAGTAAGTAATTTGTATTTATATAGCGCCTTTCACAGACCAGAGTCACAAAGCGCTTTACAATTGTTGTGGGCATTTGTCTCTCGCTCCACACAGAGAGCAGGTCCGCCAGTACAGGAGGTGCATGCCAGACCTACAGTATTGTACACACTAAGTAATTATGTAGATTATACTTTAACAGTTTAATTTGGTCAGGATGTTTTGCTCATCCTGGTCATGTCTTATTCCATTCTGCTTGGTGGCTGAAAGCAGCAACCACTCTTTTCCCAGGAATCGGCCCGCAAAAAATTACCCGACATCACTTTGAATAAACGTTATCTACTGAATTTGATCATTTCATCCATAGCAATAGTTGAAACATGAACTGTCTTGCAGCCAAAAGCTTTGTGTCACCAGAATACAGAGGGCACGCTGTATTACAATGCTCCTCGTGTCTCCTGCTGATATGACCTTGCCTCGTCTCAGTCTTGTAAGTGTATAATTGCTTGTACAACCTTCAGGAGGCGCTATATACTGTGTGTCCCTGATTAGAGTCCGGCCAAATCTGGACAAGACAGGACAGGACAGAGGCCATAGAGTTATGTGTGGTTTAGAGTAAAGTCTTATAGAAATAGTAGTATAGTTATAGAAATCCGCAGCCTCATATGTCAGGGCAGGGCACCTCTACAAGATTTTAATTTCAGAACATGAGCCACACAATTCCACTGAGAAAAATGACATTTGTACATGTTCTGAAAAGGGTTAGATGAAGGAGAATCAGCACACTGCAAACAATGATCAAATATGAGGTCATAATTGCTTGAAACGAGTACATTCGATCTTAAAACAAGATTTGTCAATGGGAAGAAGCCATTGAGTCTTGAACTGTTGCTGTATTTTCTCATTCCAAGAGGCATTTCTTTTAGATATTTTTTCTTGTCCCATTGGCAAATCTTGTTTTAAGAAAGAATGTGCTCAAACTAAGATACATTTTGTCAAATTTGAGCAATTTTGATTTATCATAAACAATACAATAAACAACAGCATTAGTTCCTGACCATCTGGATAAAAAGTGAAAAGAGCGATGAGGAGCAGCTCTTTTTGCTTATGAACTTTTTGTGACCCGTAGCAGGACGCTTCAAAGTCAAACACAGGAAACAGTAACAGGCAGCAGCGGACTTCCCATCATGCTCTGGACATGACGGCTTCAAAACGGCTCCTCTCATCATGCCGTGAGGACAGAACAGAACAGACGTGTAAAGCATGTGGCTCCGTCTGATCCAGAGGCAAAAGCACAGAGACTGATAGTGACAGCGAGAGTTTACCACACGTCCCGTTAGAGGACGTCCTGTTAGAAGACGTCCTGTTCAAAGACGTCCCGTTAGAAGAAGTCCTGTTAGAGGACGTCCTGTTAGAAGACGTCCTGTTAGAAGACGTCCTGTTCAAAGACGTCCCGTTAGAAGACGTCCTGTTCAAAGACGTCCCGTTAGAAGACGTCTGTGTGGTTCTGTGTTAATGCATTGATTGTACTAAGTCAGTATTATCGGCTCGACAAATACACGGTACATAATTACATGCAGCAGAACCGTCCACCAACTCATCATTATGTTTGTTTCCATATTTACACTACAATAAATGACACAAAATATGAATAAATAATCAAGTGTTAAGTCACAAAACAAGATTGGCCGATGGGACAAGCCATTTAGTCTTATTTCAATAACTTTTTCTCATTTCAACGAAGCCATTTCATTTTAAAACAAGGTCATTCCAAAAGGCTGTCAAACAGTGCAAAATTAAGATTCATTCAGCCAATTTATTTTTCATCACGTTTATAGTTAGTCAGTTGGTAGAGCATTGGCCTTTGAGCCAGAGGGTCATGGGTTCGAGCCCGACTTTCACCATCGACTGTCTGATAACTGTCTGTTATCGTTGTGTCCTTGGCAAGACACTTAACCTCTGGGAACACCTGATGCCACAGTGGGGCGGCTGCGGCTGTAAAGTGCCAAACTGCCATTTTGTCCTTAGGCAAGACACTTCACCCCCATTGCATAGAATGAGTCTGGTGTGTGAATGGTTGGTGGTGGTCGGAGGGGCCGATGGCACATACTGGTTGCCTCGCTTCTGTCAGTGTGCCCCAGGGCAGCTGTGGCTACAGTAGTAGTTTATCTCCACCGTGTATGGAGTGAATGAATAATAACATGTAAAGTGTCTTTGAGTGTCCAAAAAAGCGCTATATAAAACCGATGCATTATTATTATTATTAATATCAATCCAATAACAGGCCAAATCTCACACACAAATATCGCATAGATCAAGTGTCTCCAATCTCTAACTCGGGAGCTACCGTTAGCTCACCATCACATTCTCAGTAGCTCATCCCCAAAGTATTTCGACTTTTCAAATCCCACCCTCAGTATTGTATGTAGTACGTTTATAATACCTACAACTATTGAACATATACATACATAGTTGTGCACTAATAGTTTGTTATTAGATAGGTTACAGTTATCTAAACATAAAACACGTCATCATTATACAGTGTTGACTCTTAATACTATGTAAGAAGGAGCTCTACGAGAGAAAAAAGTTGTAGACCCCAGATGTTAGTGCTTTGAGGGGGAAAGTTCTACAGGATGACTTTTTATCAAGGTTGTCTGAGTGTTTAGCATTCTGGGTTCTCAGAAATAAGGACCTGAGTTTGAATCCCGGACAAATAGGGTCTTTCTGAGTGGAGTTTGCACGTTCTTCCCGTGCCTGTGTAGGTTTTCTCTACCACTAAAAACATGTACAATAGGTAAATCTATAGCTACGGTAGTCCTGACCAAGCTGAGCATCAACATCTGGAAATGGTCCTCGGGCGCTGTTACTACGGTGACCACTGCTCCTGATAAACGCCCTAGTGGCATCAGGATGGGTCAAATGCAGAGGATGAATTGCCCGATGGGGAAGAATTGCACCGTAGATGATTAAGGCACTGCTCAGTTCTAGCACTTTCAATGTTTCTTCCCTTTTCAAAGCAACTTTACATGTTCAGATATTCTTCATTCTCTGTGGCTGCAGAGGTCCTCTCACTAATGGAGGAATTGAATCGTCTCAGAGTCCTGTGCACAGTCAAAATCAAGGTCAGCTTTATTTGTATAGCACATTTACAACAACACCAGCTGCCCACAGTGCTTCACATCCACAAATGAAGAAGTAAACAGAAAAACAGCATGAAATACGCAACAATAGACAAACAGTAGATGGGGTCCTCCAATGAAGGAGCTTCTCTTACAGATGTAAACTATTCCACTCCGGGGGAAGGATGGAGCGTAATGTTGATTGTTGGATAAGACTGTTGAGCGAGACGAAAAAATCTGGATGAGCCGAAGTGTCTGGGCAGAGTCTGCATGGTCTCAGGACTGAACCAGAATTGTTGGGACTAAGGGAGAATGTTGCACCAAGCCTTTGTGCAATGACACCTAATCATGTCCCCTTGATTCAAACCTCATTTCACAGTTTAATGAATGATGATATACTTCACTCCATTAATACAAGAGCCGATTGTTTTGTACCGGGTAATTTCTATTATCTTTTCCTCATCGTTTATGTGGATTTGCATGTGATTAATTCAATTTAATCTGTGCAGCGATGGTGTTCCTCTCTAACTCAGCTCATTATAAGAACTGTGTTTAGGGGGCATTTGGAATTCAATACTCATAACAAATGTTGATATCTACATGGATTTACCGACATTTATTAAGAAGAAATCAAGAACGTTTGTGACACATGACAGAAATAAGCAAAAAATTGGCTCCTAGGTTTTCTGCTTCTGTTAGAACATTTTGCGATTCTTCCAATGGTCATTTGTACTTAAGCTAACACGAGGCCCACACAACTCTAATTAAACCCAAATCACCATGCACGCAGCTCCTTCCAAACACAATTACACGGCTAAATGATGCTGCCGCAAACATGTGCTTAGTGTTTTGGCAGCCATTTTGGTAAGGTAAAAAAGCAGGGCCAGCTCACAGACCTATTGGGGCTTGAATGGTGTGTTTTTGCTCCAGTGAAGCCACCCCAGTATCACCGCCATCCCTCCATCTGTCACCAAAGCTCTGCGCAGTCCCAACGGTGAGGCAGAACTACGGCAGCCTGGCAGGGTCATTACACTAGTGCTAACCTCTGCCAGGTACACGCGCGGGCCTAATGTATTCCGACTAATTAAAGCGCGCCAAGGCAAGCTCCATGCACGGCCAGCTGCTGAAATAGAAAGACCAACTGTTTGGATCACACCGTGGCAATGTCAAGGTTGGACCCCGAGGACCAGCTGGAGGCTCAGGGAAAGCGGCAGCGTGGAGTGTGCGTGTCTTAGATAAAGTTCAGGACTGTGGGTTTGAACAAAGTGAGACGATATGAAAGAAGATGTGTGTTGGTATCATGTGCCGTCAAAGTAAAAGGTGACTGTGTAAACTTTCTGGAGGGGCTGCGTCAGACATGTCCAAAATAAGGACATTTTATGATGCCGTCTGCCTTGCTAACACAAATTAGTCTTTGAGATCATAAACACAAGTTCACAGTGTCATCTAGCCAACTTCCGCTCCATAATAGCTAATTATAAAGCTCAGAACAGACAAAACAGTGTTACTATCCCGGTATGTTGGCTGAATGCACTACTTTAATTACATTTTGCTATGTCAACTGCAAAATGTAATTAAAGTAGTGAAATCAGTTTTGTAAAATTAACTTTCAGATGTGGGAGACTAGAGCCAAAGTAACAACTTCTCAAGGTGAACTTCTCAAGAGCCTTTTACAAGCGCTTTGAGCTGTATGCATGTAAGTAAAGTCAGTAACATCAGTATTTTGTGTTTGGGGGTGGATGGCAAGTGGAAGTGAGATCTCTGCTGCAATCCAACGCAAACCGAGCATTACAGTCAGCACGTTTCTTCCTGCATGCATTTGAATAACAGTGTATATGTTTACAACCTTATGCACAGCTTACAAACATGTACATACAGCACAGCGTGGATACATGTACATACTGTGAGATGGTAGAGCGCATGGGGTCGTTACGCTCCATTGGCGACACTTCTATGCAGTTCTACCTGGAGTATGTGAGGCTCTGTACAAACAGCAGCCGATACGGATCTGAGCCCGAGATTACACTCGGACCCAGGCAGGATCATCTCCGGATTGGGAAGAAGGGTGTGATTGTGTGGAAACAGCTAGCACTCTGGAGTTTAGCCGGGTAAAAGTGCATGTTTGTAAAGGGCTATCTAGACTTTTCTCCTGGACAAGTATGAATTAGGTTTAGATGTCAGCTATGCTCAGTTTTTGCACTCCAAAAAAATGTTGTATGAATGATTGGAAAAGAATTGACTCAACTTGCATAACAATTAAGCTTTGTGAACTTTTGACTCTCACAAATTACAGAAGGTGATAACAATGAAAAAACATGAATGAACATATTTATAATGTCTATGTGTTTGCCTAATAGTGTTAACTTTGGTTTCTCTTTCTCTAGTTGTTAGTTCAGGCCTCACAGAGCTGTCTTGCCTCTTGTGTCAGCTGGATAATGAAAGGCTAAATATAATATCAAAGACAGAGTTGTTCAACCGCTTAAACCTCTCAAACCAAAGTTGAAGCGTCTCAATTTCCAGAACATTATCCAAATGTGATGACAATATCTTTTTAAAAAACTGTTCCACAAAATAAACCCTAAAATTGGGACAACATGTCTTCATAGAACACTGAGCTCAGCTGGTGGAGCGTGTTCCTCACACAAACATGAGCAGTCAGATGGACTGAGCCACAGGTGTGAAACCAGCTCCCACTATTGACTTCTGTTTGGGAAAGACACTCCACCCTGCATCATAGGTACACTTAATTAGGCACACCTTCCTAGTACTTCAAAACTTAATCTTTTGTGGCATAGATTCAACAAGGTACTGGACAAATTCCTCAGAGAGTTTGGTCTGCATTTGATAGCTACACATTCATGATGGAAATCTCCTGTTCCACCACATCCCAAAGTTGCTCTATTGGATTTAGATCTGGTGACTCGAGGCCATTACAGTACAGTGAACTGATTGTCATGTTCAAGAAATCAATCTGTGATGATTTGAGCTTTATGACAAGATGTTATATCCTTCTGGAAGTAGCCATCAGAAGATTGGAACACTGTGGTCATAGAGGGATGGACATGGTCAGCAACAATACTCAGGTGGGCTGTGGCAACGATGCTCAATTGGTACTAAGGGACTCAAAGAGTGCAAAGAAAATATCCTCCACACTATTAAACCCTCACCACCAGCCTGAACTGTTGATACAAGGCAGGATGGATCCATGATTAATAATAATAATAATACATTTTATTTATAATGCACTTTATATTTGACACCAAATCTCAAAGTGCTACAAACAGGAGCATAAATAAAAGCAAACACATAAAATCAGATAAAAGACTATCAAAGAATTAGCAGTACGCTTTAGTAAAAAGATGATTGAATATCGATGACTCCAAATTCTGACCTT